CGGTTCACCTCCTTTGGAACCTGCTTGTTTGGAAATCCTGCTTTGAAGTAATGAGTATCCGTGGTATACGATATATGCTATGGGATGAATCGCTTCTCCAGAGGGTGCAACTCCTCTATATTTTCATCTCCATGCGGTTCTCCACATATAAAAAAGATCTCGACATGGTGCTTTATCTTTTATAAAGATTGGCTTTATTTGCTCAGGATATGACACTCACATGTATTGTATACGGATAGTGGTAGCACTGATACAATCGAAAACTAACGCTGACTGTCGGAGCTGTGTACCCGTGGTCCGGCAAACGAACTGGCTCCCTCCGAGTGACGTTACAGTGGGGTGGGACTGTAACGTCACTCGGAGGGAGCCAGTTCGTTTGCCGGACCACGGGTACACAGCTCCGACAGTCAGCGTTAGTTTTCGATTGTATCAGTGCTACCACTATCCGTATACAATACATGTGAGTGTCATATCCTGAGCAAATAAAGCCAATCTTTATAAAAGATAAAGCACCATGTCGAGATCTTTTTTATATGTGGAGAACCGCATGGAGATGAAAATATAGAGGAGTTGCACCTCTGGAGAAGCGATTCATCCCATAGCATATATCGTACACCACGGATACTCATTACTTCAAAGCAGGATTTCCAAACAAGCAGGTTCCAAAGGAGGTGAACCGCAAGCTTATATAGCCTAATTGCAGGCTTCCTATGAGGTGAGCGCACATCTTCACATGTGGGAGGATTCACAAGCAGTCACTGATTTATAATCATTATAGATTGAAGATTTTTCAGCACAAAGTCACTTTTTTGGGACATTTATTTCTACTTTTTTATTATTTTTTATTTCATTTTTTTGTTTTTATTTATTCATGCACATGGTTTATTGATTCATAGCTTAAGGTTATTATAATTTATGATTAATCACATACATCATTCTCAATTATTGTGATTTTTAGAACAGAGATTAAGTGATTCAAATAATAATATATTAATTAGAGGTTTGGGAGCGCAACACTATATGTTTTTATTTTGAGCTATAAAGTTTAGTGTAGAAAGAATGAAATGTGCAGAGGATCTTACTAGGGTCCTGGGATAACGAACCGATATCCAATCTGAGTTTGGGGAAAGCCATCTGGGAATGTCTGGGAGTCAGCTTGCGTGCTAACAATGTGCCAGGTCTGTCCCTCCAAGTAAAGAATTTATGATTAGACCAACGAAGTTGTTTGTCAGCAATGGTAGTAAGACACAAATTAAGTTCCAGTCGGGCCTGGTCAAGTTTAAGTAACAAATCAGGACTGGGAATTTGCTTATGTTGAGCAACCAGGTCAGTGAATGACTGAGTTTTAGTGGTAAGTAGGTCATTTTGGGCTTTTTTAAGACAAGAAGAAAGTTGAATAATACACCCCCTGACCGAGGCCTTATGAGCTGCCCAATTAATCCCCGGGTCTGTGTCCTCTGCTTTATTGAAGTCAAAGAATGCTTGTAAGTGTGAGGAGATTTCCCGACAATGAGAGGGGTTACCCAAAATAGAGTCATTAAGACGCCAGTGAAAAGCCGTCTTACCAGGTGTCCCGGGCGACAAGGTTATAGAAACTGGGTCGTGGTCAGACCAGGGCGTGGAGAAGATTTTAGCAGGAAGAAGTTTGGGGAGTGAATGTGTATGAAGAAAAATATGATCAATGCGGGAATAACTGTTATGGGCTCTGGAGTAATGGGAGTAGTCTCAAGAAGAAGGATTAGCCCTCTCCATGCATCAATAAAGTCATACCAATATAATAGCTGGGCCAACTTACGGCTCCGTCTAGAAGGAGGCTGAAGCGTGACGGTTCGGGAACGATCCAGAGTCTGGTCCAGTGCTAAATTGGGGTCACCAGCCAGAATAACATCACCCTCAAATTCCCCGACCAGAGTGCTTAAAAGGGACTGAAAAAATTCCACCTGATTGGCATTTGGAGTATAATAAATTAGAAAAGTGATTAGGTTTCCTCCCAGGTGGCCTTTCACCAGAAGATATCGCCCCCTCCCTGTCCCGGATAATTTTAGATTCGGTAAAGGACAGTTGGCGAGAAAAGCAAAGGGCCACCCCTCGTTTTTTCTCTGTAGCATTAGCAAAAAAGCAGACAGTGTAATTGTTATGGATATAGCGCGGAGAGAAGGAGGAGGAAAAATGCGTCTCCTGTAAGGCAACTATATCTGCCCCAAGGGAGTGGTATGAACTAAAATCCTGTATGCGTTTGGAGGGGGAATTAAGCCCCTGAACATTGTGAGAAATTAAACGAATACGCCCTCTAGTTGACCGTAAGGAAGACATTATAAGTAATTAAGGAGCTAAGCAGGATAGAGACCCTCCGTTCCTGAAGAGTGAAAATGTTCCTAAGAGTCCCTAAATGTTGCCAGCTGACCCCGGAGGAAAACAAAAAAAGACAAAGAGAGAAAAAGTGGAGAAAAAGGAAAGAGAAAGGAGAAGACATTCGGAACACAAAAGTCTGCATGTCAAGTAGCCGTGGTACACGAAACAACACTATATAAATGAATCAGCCTATGTACCAGGAAATACAGAGCAATAGCCCTGTAGTGGAATGGATCTGCCCAGAGAAGCAATCTCGGGGAAGAGTCTTCCAATCAGAGAGAGCGCAAAGACACTCTCCGGCACCGACAGTAACAGTAACCCATCAGCAATAAAACAAAAATTTAGTGCTTAGAAATAGAAGAACAAAACAATTGAACCTTCTGAAATGGCATTCAACAAACAGATGTAATGTAATCCCCAGGTCCCCCGCCCCCACCCCCCCCATCCCCCTACAACAACAAAGCAGCATCGGCCAACGCTCGCAGGAGCCACAAAGAGGCCACCACCAATCAAAACATCACAGCGAAAAGTCCCCAAAAGGACACGGGAGTTCAAGATATCTTCCCAGGTGGATTCCGTGACCCCTTTGGCGTAGTCCACAATGGCGGAAGCAACGGAGGTCGAGAAGCCAATCCCGTAGGGGAATGGGATGCCGGACTGCGAGAGATAACACCCAGCTGAAACAGCAACTCCTTGCCATCCTGGAATGTAGCAAACCCATAGGACTTTCCATTAAGAGTGAACTGCAGGTGAAAAGGGTAGGCCCAACGATATCTAATGCCCTTCTGAACTAAGTGAGAGAGTAGTGGCTTGAGGGATCGCCGCTTCTGGATAATGGCCGGAGAGACATCAGCAAAGATTTGTATCTTGTGCCCCATAAGCTCCAGGTCCGGATTCTCCCTGCCATACCGCATAACTGCTTCCTTGACCTGGAAAAAAATGAGGCTTGACGATGATATCTCTAGGAGGCCCCCCTTGCCGGGGGGGATCAATGCTCTGTGGATACGATCTATCTCAAGATGAAGGTCATCAATATTGGGCAAAGCAGACCACATGAGGGTGTGTGCGCAGCTAGTGAGCTCCTTAACCGACTCAGGGAGTCCTCAAATGCGAAATTGTATCGCCTGGCCCGATTCTCCAAATCATGAATTTTAGAGTATGCTTCCTCTAGTCGATCTTGCAAGTCGGTGATCATGTTGGAATTTTGGGAGACACTATGGGCTGTCACATCAACTTTAGCCTCGATACTGTCCAAACGTTGACCCAAGACCTGAAAATCCTGCTTAAGGTCAGCCGCCAATTTGGAGGTTGCTCTATCTAGTTCGCGTTGCAGCAAATCTGCGAACCGAGCTATCAAGGTCGCGTCACCAGAATATAGTGGCGGGTCAGGAGGAATTGTTGGTGAGGAGGCCGGGCTGTCATCTGCGGGCTCCGGACCGCTATGCTGGCTGGAAAAAATGGCAGCGATCTCGCTGCTCAATGGCGAGGAGGCAGGGGAGTCACGGTCCAAGCAACAGGCCGAAGCCTGGGACTCTGGTGGTACAGGGCTGGAAGGTGATTGGGGGGCCTGCAGGGAGTCACTCACCCTAGTTGGTGATGCTGTTGCAGTCCTCCTTGGTCCACTGTGGGATGAGGTGCTCCTTTTCTCCTTCTGGGGGAGAGGTGCTGCCGTGAGAGAGGCAGAGGAGGCACCAGGAGCTGCAGGCGCCGATCCGGGCACCATCTTGGACCGCCCAGTCCCCGCAGGGAGCAGCATCTGGGAGCCTCCACGGCTCTTCCCCGCTGCTTTTCCCGACATATTGCGGGAGCCTGAGGTCCGGTACAGGTCTGGGGGGGGCCCCCGGGAGCTATGCTGCACTATGCCCTTATATGGGCTGTTATCGGCGCCGGAGGTGTGCGGAGCTATCGCCGGGACATCCGATCCCGGCGGCCGCGCATACGCACTGACATCCTTGCAGGGTATTTAAAGGTTTAAACATTAGAGAAATGAGCATATATTACAAAGTAGTACTGCTGATGTGTTTTCTTATTTTTGTTGTTTTAATTTTACACTGACATACATATAAGTAAGAGATTCCGTGTAGAAAAAGTGTGCTATAATGACCAAATATTTAAAGTGGTTCCAAAGCCTCAATGTTTTTTTTTTTTACCTTAATGCATTCTATGCATTAAGGTAAATAAAAACATTCTGTGTCACAGATTTCCCCCCTCACTCCTTTTCTACTTACCTGACCCCAATTTTGATCCATCACTGTGCACAAGAGTTGCGGCTCTGTCCCTCCTCACGGGGCAGATGGATTGCATCGAGAGCCATTGGCCCCTGCTCCTGTCAATCAAATCCAGTGAAAAGGGAGTGGGGAGCCCCGCTGTCTGTGTCAGCAGACGCACACAGAAAGGCTTGGGAGTGAGCCTGCACGAGTGCCCCCATGGAAAGCAGCTTTTCATGGGGAGCAATAGGTGGGGGAGGAGTCAGGAGAGCCAGAGGGGACCTGAAAGGAGGAGAATAAAGGCTGCTCTTTGCAAAACAATTGCACAGAGCAGGTATATATAACATGTTTATTACTTTAATGAAAAAAAAAAAAAAACGGAAGCTTTGACAGAACTTTAATTTACAAAGCGTGGGAATATATAGGGGATACTGTGCATTTTTAAAACTTACACCACAATGCCACAATAAAGATACAAGACAGTATAACATGGCTACATCTTACCTTTGAAGAGTAGGACTTCTTTCGCTTGGAAGCTGCTTTCTCATTCTTCCTCTTTCCTTTTCCGTCCTCTTCTACCTGATCTCCTTCTTCCTCTTCACTGCTGCCATCAGCAGCGTTGCCCCCTTCCCCCTCAGTTTCTGAGGAGCTTTGCTGCTGCATTGCCTTAAATGGATCAGAAATATGACTGATATAAGAGACTAATCCAGTGAAGAACAACCATAACCTATCTGCAGTCACAATGAAAGATGTCAACTTATTTGTTTGTAACTCTGGATACTCTTTAGCCCCCAAGAGTTCACTGCCACTCCTGGGAAGGAAATGTCAATGCCACTGCTGCTGAGCACCAGTGCAGGGTGGTTAAAAGCATAACTTCTGACACCCATGTTGGGGTTATTACTTTGGTCACTTGATACCAATGCTGTGAATTAATACTGCAGTCACAGGAGGGTTTTCTTCACAGTCACTGACACCAATGCTGGAGGTTATTATTGTGTCCACTGACACAAATGTCGTAGGTTATTACTGCGGTCAATCACATCAATGCTTGGGTTTTTTTACCTGGTCACTGACACTGATACTGGGAGTTATCACTGCAGTCACTGACACCAATGCAGAATAGTTTTTTTTGCAGTCAGTGACACCAATGCTGGAAGCTATTATTGTTTCCAGTGATGCTAATGTCAGAGGTTATTACTAGGGTCAATCACATCAGTGCTGGGTTTTTTACGTGGTCACTGACATCAATGCTGGGGGTTATTATTGTGTCCACTGACACCAATGTCGTAGGTTATTACTGCGGTCAATCACATCAATGCTTGGGTTTTTTTACCTGGTCACTGACACTGATACTGGGAGTTATTACTGCAGTCACTGACACCAATGCAGAATAGTTTTTTTTGCAGTCAGTGACACCAATGCTGGAAGCTATTATTGTTTCCAGTGATGCTAATGTCAGAGGTTATTACTAGGGTCAATCACATCAGTGCTGGGTTTTTTACGTGGTCACTGACATCAATGCTGGGGGGTTATTAGAACTATCCAACACCAGTGTTGGGGGGGTTATTATTGAATTAATCATTGCCAGTGCTCAGTGGTTGTATCATGGTAAGTGATACTAATGCTGGAAGGTATTATTGCTTTGACTGGTACCAGAGAGGACCCCAACTTTCTCTTCAGCATGCATTGCAGTAAAAAAAAAATTCCCATTAATTTGGAATGGGCTGCCTATCTCGATGCAATTCACCTCACCACATGATAGCACACTGCTATTGTGTGTCCCTCTGGAAGTGTCAGTGGCTGCCCTTAAAGCCTTCTATTATTTTCAGGTTGACCACCATTGTACAGGTCAACTTTGCATAATAACATTCTGAAAATATGGTCAAATCAACAGGAATGTATATGATTATTATTACTACTACTACAATGGAAGACAGTGAACATTAGGAACCATAATAGCTTCAAAAGTTTACGAAAAGACACTACGGAGGTTATTTACTGAAAATGGAGAGTACAACTCTGCATAGAAACCAATCAGCTTCCAAGTTTTATTGCCAAAGCTTAAATGAACAAGCTGAAGTTAGAGGTTGATTGGCTACCATGCACAGCTGCACCAGATTCTGATTGCACCAGTTTTGGTAAATTCCCCCCTATGGCTGTGCATACAGACTATACATGCTGCATCCTTTTACTACATGAACACCACAATGCTTCAATGATAATAATCATGATATCAAAATAATGGTTTAGAGACACCATTACAAATCTGTGCATTTTTTTATACTGGCCTGCTGTTACCCTTTGAAGCAAACAGCATAATTTTCAGCTTTTTACAAAAAAAAGTTTTTAAAAGCCTGCTAACATTGGCAGTATTTGAGCTTTAACAGCAATGGATGTGGATCTCTTCATGTATTATAGGATTTGTAAAGCACTCCTACAGATGAGAAAGCACACGTTCCAATCCACCGTTAGTAATTATACAATGTCAAATTTTATATTTGTTGCCTTCCACCAGTAAAAACAGTAGTGTGTTACTATATGTATTTTAAAACATCAAAGTTATGACTTTCAAATCAACTGAACTGTCACAGGAGATAACTGGACTATCATAAGTGGTTCTGGCCAAATCTCTTCAGTAACAAGGGAGCAACACCACTGCTAGGCAAACACTGCTCTAATAAACGTCTATTGGGCAAACACAGAAATAATGCAGAGAATTAAAGTTATTACAAATTTGCAAAATAATTATCATGCATGAAGGTAAATAAGCCAGAACATCCTAGCATATAATCATTACTGGCCATCCTTTGAACACACAATCAGGATCTGCCAGGAGTGATCATATCAAAGTTTTCAGCTTTATTAGTGGTATTCTTAGCATTGATGCCAGAGAGAGATATAAAGTATGCAACACTTACCTTTAATAACTTCAAACCAATACAAATCATACTATCATATTTTTCGCTCCATAAGACGAACTTATTTCTCCCAAAAAATGGGAAAAAATGTCTGTGCGGCTTATGGAGCGAATATGGAGTGGCCGGCCCGGTATTCCCACCGCCACCGTGTTAGAATACCGGCTCTGTGCAGCAGAACCTGCTCCTCAGTCCTACCTGTCCCTCGGTCCAGCGGTGTCCTCACCGTCTTCTCTCCCTGGTGCCGGCATCTTTAGTATGGGCACCCGGCTCTGACAGCTAGTGGCTTCACAGCCGGGTAACCACTGCGTATGCGCAAGAAGCGCTGAGCTTTGTGAATGGTCCGGCAGTCTTCTGGGACCTGTCACGTGTCCCAGAAGATGGGGAGGGAGGACAACTCCGCGGAAGTGGGAGTGGGTACCTGTCAAATTTGGGTACCCGCTCCCCCCCTCCTCTGCTCCCCAAAGGTCCTCAGTCTCTGGTCATCTCCTGTACTATGTCTGCAGTCTCTGGTCATCTCCTGTACTGTGTCCGCAGTCTCTGGTCATCTCTTGTACTATGTCTGCAGTCTCTGGTCATCTGTAGTATGGCCACAGTCTCTGGTCATCTCCTGCTACTGTGTCCGCAGTCTCTGGTCATCTCTTGTACTGTGTCCGCAGTCTCTGGTCATCTCTTGTACTGTGTCCGCAGTCTCTGGTCATCTGTACTATGTGTGCAGTCTCTGGTCATCTCCTGTAGTATGTCCGCAGTCTCTGTTCATCTCCTGTACTATGTCTGCAGTCTCTGTTCATCTCCTGTACTATGTCTGCAGTCTCTGTTCATCTCCTGTACTATGTCCGCAGTCTCTGGTCATCTCTTGTACTATGTCTGCACTTTCTGGTTATCTCCTGTACTATGTCCGCAGTCTCTGGTCATTTCCTGTACTATGTCCGCAGTCTCTGGTCATTTCCTGTACTATGTCCGCAGTCTCTGGTCATCTCTTGTACTATGTCTGCAGTCTCTGGTCATCTCCTGTATTATGTCCGCAGTCTCTGGTCATCTCCTGTACTATGTCTGCAGTCTCTGGTTATCTCCTGTACTATGTCTGCAGTCCATTGGTTCAGAATATTTTTTTTCTTGTTTTCCTCCTCTAAAACCTAGGTGTGTCTTATGGTCAGGTGCGTCTTATGGAGCGAAAAATTCGGTAATTTCCTATCTCTATGCCAAAACTTTCCCTTGCCCCCAACAGACATCACATCAACCTGACCTAGTCTAAAGTAGTTCGGACTGGGACCAGCGTAGGCCTCCAGGTGCTTGTATTTCTAAAACTGAACATATATGTAAAAAGTATTCAGCTGGCACATTGCACCAGGACTTCTAAGACAAGAAAGTCTAAAGTACAGGTGTTTATATTTGCAGCCAATCAGATTCTAGGGTTCAAGTCCATACTACAGGTTAGAGAAGCAAACATCTAGCTGGTTGCTAAGGCAATACCATGTCCATCATATGTATTACATATTGCATAAGTATCTTTCCAGTAGAACTTCCACCAAGGTACATGACCATTTTCTCACTGCATGTTCTTCTACTGTTTTCTGCTTTTGAAGTTTATGCTCACCTTCAGATGCATCTATTAAAAAAAAACAAATATAAATATATTTTATTTATATGGCTTACTGCGTACACAAATACACTTAAATATGTTAATCAATAAGGTTTATTATTAATTATATATTCTGTTTTTTGGTATCAACATTAGGCTACACTGGGTTCCTTGAAAACGTCTGACACTGGACTGCTGCTGTTCCTGACCATCCCAATCCTGTGTCCACATTTCATACAAGCATGAAGTTCCACAGCAGCTGCTGCTCTGAATCAGCCTGCTTATACCCTAAAGAAGGGGGATTTATTGACCCCGAAAGCACACTGGCTAGTGATTATAAAATAAAAAATAAAATTTTAATTCTACCTTTTGATGAACTGAATCCTTTATTGCAATCTACCCTCCTACAGTGGGGAAAATAATTATTTGATCCCTTGCAGATTTTGCAAATTTGCCCACTTACAAAGAAATGAAGGGTCTATAATCTTTATTATAGGTGTATTTTAAATGATAGAGACAAAATATCAACCAAAATCCAGAAAAGACACACGATACAAATGTTATAAATTGAGTTGCAGTTCAGTGAGTAAAATAAGTATTTGATCCCCAAGCAAAACATGACATAGTACTTGGTGGAGAAACCCTTGTTGGCAAGAACAGAGGTAAGATGTTTCTTGTAGTTGGTTACCAGGTTTCCACACATCTCAGGTCCACTCTTCTTTACAGATCTTCTCTAAATCCTTAAGGTTTCTTGGCTGTTGCGTTGCAACTCGAAGTTTCAGCTCCCTCCATACATTTTCTATAGGATTTAGGTATGTAGACTGGCTAGACCACTCCATGATCTTAATGTGCTTCTTCTTGAGCCACTCCTTTGTTGCGTTGGCGGTATGTTTTGGGTCATTGCCATGCTGGAAGACCCATCTTCAGTGTTCTGGCTGAGGGAAAAAGGTCTCAACGAAGATTTTACAATACATGGCCCCCTCCATTGTCCCCTCAATGCAGCAAAGTCGGCCTGTACCTTTAGAAGAGAAACAGCCCAAAACATAATGTTTCCACCTCTGTGGTTGACTGTAGGGTTGGTGTTCTCAGGGTCATAGTCAGCATTTTTCTTCCTCCAAACACGGCAAGTCGAGTTAATGCCAAAGAGCTAAATTTTGGTCTCACCTGAC